CAGTGCCCAGAGATTTTTTTTCTCTCTCTCTCTCTTCCTCTCTCTCTCCCTCCTATCCTATATTTCCTGCCTCCTTTGCTTTGCTCTCTTCACTCCCTCCTTTTTTTATATAGGTACCCTCCTTCCATCTCTTCCCCTCTCTTCTGTCGCACCCTCCCTTCTTCATCCCTCCCTCTACACAATGTGCAGTAGTCAGATCCTGCTGCAGCAGAAAGAATGGAACATCCCTCCTCCTCCTCCTTGCGCTGAAGCTTACCCTTTTCTCTCTTTTCCCCCCTCCCCTCCACTTCCCCAACTCCTTTATTTTTTTATTTTCCATTTCTGTTTCACTTCATTTCCCCCTCCTGTAAGGAGAGGAAAACGGCAGAGGAGGGGGCGTGAGAGGGGCAAAGCGTGGAGCCCCCTTAAGTCTAGCAACTTAAAAAAAAGAGGGGGGCACGCGAACTAGAGAAGGGGAACCCATTTTGTTGTAGATCACCTTCCCTTTCCCCCCCCCTCTCCCTCCTTCGCCCAGGCTTGTAGGAGCCACGAAAAAAAAAAAAGGATTTTTAAATTTTTGTTTATATATACAGATGGACGACTAGACAAGGAAGAAGGTGCAAATAGAGACTGAAGAAAGGCACCCTCCGTCCGTCTCCCGGGGGCTGGAGGTCTGGATTCTAATGGTTTTTTTCCCTCCCGCCAAGGAAAAAGTGGATTAGCCTCGCCGTTAACTCTTACCCGATCCTTGCCCGCCTTCCATCTCCATTTGGGGAGGGCGCACAGACCCCCTTTTTCTCCGAGGAGGTTTCCCTTCCGTTTCGGCGTTTGGATTTGGCATTTTTCGCCTTTCACTGAGGGGGGGTTGCAAGAATTTGAGACCTCCCCCCACCCCTTGTCCCTTTTCCCCCCTCCGTCCAAAAAACCCCCTCTCCACTCCATGGTCCAGGTGGAAATGTTGAGTCTTGGGAAAGAGAGCTGGATTGGAGCAATTCTCTCAGCCTTGGCTACCATCCTGCTAGTCTGTTCTGCACAAATGGATAGCTGAAATGGTGGTGGGAGCTAGTTGGCTGATGCTGATGGAGGGATGCTGATGCAAGGATGCTGATGGAGAGATGCTAATAGAGAAGGTGGCTTTGTTCGGGGGCTGCTAGATGGGGATAGAGGTAGAAATAGGTACGTGAGATGAATAAGAGTTGCTCAGGGAAGGAGGATGGATGGGATGTGATGGCATAAGATATATATGAAGGCTTGTAAAATAAGCCGACGGTTATTTAGAAATGTAGAAAAACGTGCAAGCTTGATGTGCAGAATTCGGTGCAGTCAACAGAAGGTGCAAGTTAACGTGCAAGGTGGAGGAATAACTGTAGAAAATGGTTGCTGAGGCAATAGAGATGGTGGCTGCATACTGGCTGCAAGCATACTCAAATATATTGCATAGGGATACAAGAACAGGTGTGGCCCAAGGTGTTCATGGAACCCATCAAATCTGTAGAGGTTCCAATTTTTGGACCGAAGGGCAGCAAACGGTTGGACATGGTTATGGTGGACAGATACCGATTTAGCATTAGCTCTGTGTGAGGAGGTGGTGGACCTTGCGTTGAGGCAAGCTTGGCCTTCTTGGAGATGCATGCCGATGGGACGCTCGAAAGATTGGCCGTGTTTGTGACAAAATATATACAACGGTACCATAAACAGGTCATATATATAATATACTAATCAGAGAGGACCAGTTGGCCATTGCTTTTAGCGTTTTTCAATATGCCCATTGGCTTTAAGCTTTTGAACATATAGGGGCCAAAAAGAAGCGTGCCAAGCAACACGGGCCCCCAGTGCACAGGCATTTTCTGTCCTTTCTTGCCATGCTGGGGGTCTACTGGATTTTGGAATGTCTTTGTAAACTTGCTCGGCAACTTTTACAGATACGTTTCCCGCCGTGGCTCCACGAGCTGATGGAGGGATCAATGGGATTCATTTCTAAGATACATTCATCATTCATTGCAGTCCGACCAGAAAGGTCCCACACAGAAATGTTCTGGGGTAGAAGAGGTGAAAGGCTCCCATCCATGGACGATCATTAGTATTAGGTTCCCATCCATGGACGATCATTAGTATTAGGTTCCCATCCATTGACGATCATTAGTATCCAATCACTGAGTGAGATGTTTAGTTACAATGTATCAAAGTCAACGATTTGGATGGAGCGGTGAGGGATTAAAACCCCTGTTGCATTTTTATTGATTTCTGTGTCCCTGTTATTGAGATTTACTCGTTTTGAACCGACCATTATCACAGGGATTGAAGGTGTGGGACAATCCAACATTTTGAGCTATGGCCAGAACAGGAATAGCGTTGACATCTTCCATTTTCCATCCAATCTACGTTTGGTTTGGTAAAAGAGATACCCTCTCACTTCCTGTTGTGTCAATAGGTCAGGAAGTAACGGGAGATCTCTCAAATGAGACACAGATGTCATTTGTTTCTCATATCGGAAAAAAAGATATGCTTTAATAACTTCAACAAACAAGTATTGCTTTGATTTATTTATTTTTTGTGGGTCCTGGAACTTTATAAGACTAGTGTCCTTTGGTGAGCGCTAGGGGATGTTAAAGCTGAAATCCGGCCTTCCCTTCAGTCTTATATCTGACCTCCGTCCTTCCCTTCAGTCTTCTATCTGACCTCCGTCCTCCCCTTCAGTCTTATATCTGACCTCCGTCCTTCCCTTCTGTCTTATAGCTGACCTCCGTCCTCCCCTTCACTCTTCTATCTGACCTCCATCCTTCCCTTCAGTCTTATATCTGACCTCCGTCCTCCCCTTCAGTCTCTAGTCTGACCTCCGGCCTCCCCTTCAGTCTTATATCTGACCTCCGTCCTTCCCTTCAGTCTTATATCTGACCTCCGTCCTCCCCTTCAGTCTTCTATCTGACCTCCGTCCTCCCCTTCAGTCTTATATCTGACCTCCGTCCTCCCCTTCAGTCTTCTATCCGACCCCCGTCCTCCCCTTCAGTCTTATATCTGACCTCCGTCCCTCCCTTCTGTCTTATAGCTCACCTCCGTTCTCCCCTTCAGTCTTGCACAGTTGTACCGGCTCCTCTTCTGGACTGAAATGGCTTCCTCTGATTTCACTGCACACTGGGAGCTTCTCACAATGTGCATTAGAAGCTGCAGCGAGTAAGATAGAGCCCGCCTCATTTCCTGGCTGGAGGACATCCGGCATCATCCAGCGAACCAGGGAAGGCAAATATAAGCAGATTTAGCTGAATGTCTTCATGAGCTTTGTAAGAACATATTATTAAAAGTTTACCTAACCTTGATGCCATTCCTGCTCACAATCTTACATTTGTAACCCCATAACATGTATCCCCATGGGACGACAGGGCTTGCTAGTGTCCCTGAGTGGAGCTACTTTATCACCCAGACATCCATCACAGTGGGTCCCGCAGCCAGTGACACATGCTCGGCGGTTTATAGCTTCCCCCGTTCAGACCTGTCTTCCAGCACTGACTTCCTTTGCAGCTCTGAGATGTCATGTGACCGAATACCTAAAGCTGCAAAGTAAGCTAATGCCGGATCACCCACCTTATACCAGACCTGCCAACCAATCAGGAACCATGGCGCATTTTGCATGGTAGACATCTGCTGCTACCCCGAATGGGACACTTGTGTTGTCCTCCGGGGTCAATGTTCCCAGGTTTTCCCAGATCCCCCAGTGTATCTAAAGCCTACATTTTTGGAGGGTTTTGGATAGAGCAGTAAGGAGTTAGAACCCCTCGATTTGTCTTGTTGACCATCAATCAGCCACTAGGAATAAATTAAGGAATATTCAATTTTTGAGTTGACCCCAGAGGAGGAGTGGAACAGAACTCTTCCAATGGGGAAACGCATTCCAGAGGCAACTGTCTAAAAAAGGGATTTCCCTTCAGGCCCATTCACACTTAAAGGAGAACTATGAGGCGAGTGCTTTTCACTCACCCCATAGTTCTAGCCGCCCTGTGACAATAAGACTGTCACAGGTCGGCTCAGTAGATCGGGAGGTGAGCGAACACATACCGGCGTTCGCTCACCTCTCGATCCTGTCACGGCTCTCTGCCGTGACAGGGGAGGGGCTGGATTCCCCCCTCCCCGCTCCGATCCGCCAGCGCTGACTGGCGGAACCGATGGGGGAGGGGCGGGTACAGCTGGCTCTGCCTCTGGATAGCAGAGCCAGCTGTCACTCACGCAGCTGGGCGGATCACGGCATAATTGTCGGGATCCGCTTCAGCTGCGGCGTCTCAGTATACCGCAAGCTACTGCGGCGTCTCAGTATATAGTGAGCTGCAGCTCGCGGTATACTGAACCTAGGGTGACGGGAGGATGCTAGTTTGTGTCCTCCCGTTACCCTAAGGAGAACTATGGGGAAAAGCCTTAACCCCATAGTTCTCCTTTAAGGGTTCCATTGCTGAACATTAATGCAAACATGTTGACATTCATTATGGCATTCAATAAGGCACGTTGCATTCATTTGGAATGGTCAGCCAATGCACCATCATACATGAAAAATCATACACAAGCCTTTTATATGCATGATATATGCATTGTGGTGCATTGTATGTTGGGCTCTCCTGTACAGTGCGTTGGGGTGTCATTCACAATGAATGGCATGGCAATGCACCTCACAATGAGCTAGACCAAAATGGTTCCCATTAAAACTGAAATCAATGCAGATAATACAAATAAAAACACTAATGAAAGCAGTTTTGTATTTATTAAAACAAACCATTACATGTATTTTACACACAACTGGTATAAATATCTGAATTTGGCTTAATATCAGCCTTGTGCAATCCCTTGCATAGCAACACTCAGACTGAGAGATGGAGGGACAGCAATGGGGTCAGTTAGGTGACCTGCATTCAAGTATACTGATCAAATAATCTTCAGAGCAGAGGCATGACCTCATAAGCCTGTTGCTGTTCCTGTGCTGTCCAGCAACAGACTGAGAGCTATTAGATAACCTAGCACACCTGACCTAAACTAATGTGGTTGCAGTCAGGGCTCTGGTGTGTGGGAGCTTGAGTGGCCTTCACATATTGGTCAACCCATGTCTTTATGGAGCTAGCTTTGTGCCCCTGGACTCAATAATTCCTCTGGAACACCTAAGTTCCATAAGGTTGCCCAACTGCAGAAGAAAAGCTTCAGGTCAGCAGGCTGGCTGTACTGTTTGGTAGAGCTGTGTACATCTTAGGATCTGATGGACTGGCATGCAAATCCTTTGACAGGGACGACGGCTCCCATATGTGTATTTTTAATGTGTATTCAGCTGTTCAGGTTTAAGGAAATGTGGATGGCGGGGAAATAATTATATACCTATGTGCATACATGCAAATATACTGAGTGGCCAGATTATTATGACCACCCCATCAGTACTTCGTTGGGCCGCCTCATGACTCCACGAGATGGTGAAAGGTGATGCGAGGAATCTGACACTGCACTGTTGTCCTTCTGTTGTCTTGTACCAGTCTTGCCCCTCCCCCGTTCTGCCCTAACATTGACTAGTCGCTGACGGCCACAATTCGCACGTTCAGACCCAGATTTTCGGCTGACAGGCCGGTCTTTAAACACTTCAACAATGAGCTGCTCTTGAACATTTAACGAATTCTGCTGTTTTGCTGATACTCGCTCCATGGCTCCGAGCGCCAACAATCATCCCGCGTTCAAAGGCTGTTAAATGGTGTTGTTTCCCCGTATCTTCAGAAACAAATCACTTCTACTGTCGTGGTAAACAACCTGCTTCCCTATTTATAATGGTCTGGCCCTCTAGCAACTTCAGCGCCAAATTATAGCTAATTATAGCTAATTTGCCTACAAACATCAGGTGGTCATAATAATGTGGCCACTCAGTGTATATCTAAAGCCAATTTTGGATAGACTGCGGGATGGTTAAAACATACAAGAGATTTTCTTACACTTCCTGTCCAGTAGACACAACAGGAAGTGAGAGGAAATCGTGATCAATGAGGCGAATTCCTATCTTAGTCACTGGAATAGGTGTTAGAA